AACAGTAATTAAAAAAAAAAGTAAAAATTGCTATAATATCTGATAGGGGCATTACTTTTACTTTTTGCAATTTTTAACTCCGAAGAACGACATTTCTGTAACATTTTGAATTTCAGAGAATAGCAACATTGGAACTTTTAAGAGAACCACATAGATTTCATAGATTTTTCAAAGGCAAATCAGACCTGGTCTGTCAAACAAGATGCTATTATCTGATCCTACCAGTCATATCCTTATTGTAAGGTGATGACTATAACTGACAAAAGGAACCATTCCTCATTTATGGTATTATAACTTAGAACAGACCATGAAATTCCTCATGTGGAGCTGGGAGGAAATAACTTCTCGCCATTCTAGTCCAATTACACAAAAAGGACATTTGTTTTAATCATTGATTAAGCCCACATCTTTTTTAACTTCGCGATCTAAGTCTCTTGCACTGTTAAAACTGCCTTGTTGGCTTTTTAAATCCCAAAACCCGACACTGCTGCTGCTAATAGCATTAATGTTTTCTGAGCTGTGTGGAAAAAATGGATGGATAAAAGCCTGTCATTGAACTGTCCGACATAATCCCTTGGCTTCAGCTGTCTCTTAGAGCGTCATTAAGGTAGCAAAAAGGTCAACCTTATCCAGACATCTTCAGTCAAATACAGAAGGCCTAACATAAAATACTTACCTTTAGAATATTTCTTCCTTTAAGGGCTGTCAACAAAGGTAGCAATGGCAATTTCCTTGTCAGTCATTTAGACTACCTTTGCTGTAAGCCGTGGAAAAAGCATGAATTTCTAATGGTCGTTCCTAAAAGGTATTCTCCAAATCCCTGCTAGAAAGGGAAGGAATGAGAAAAAGCACCACTGAAGGATCTGATACATAACTGCGTGGATAAATTATCCCATTACTTTGCTCTGATCCTGTAACACCTTTCTTTTACTTGCTAGAGTGGAGTTTATCTCTTTAGACTCAGCCCAACAGTTGTTGCTCAGACAAAACCTTGTGTCAGAGAGAGCTGTGCTTGAGCAGGGTGCGTGACAGTGTATTGCAAGATTTATGCTGTGACATGCATATTTTTCAGCATTTCAGGGAAAGAACAATGGGGATTTGTGTTTAGAACTTTCGACTCTCTCCTAAAAAATGAGAAACATTTTGCTCTTTCATGCCAGTTCTTTTTCACCCATAAAGTACTGCAATATCTACTATCAAATGTCGATAGAAACAATTATTTACTATCTTTGCCAAGGCCTGGGAATAAAAATAAATAAATCTGTATTTATTTTGTTTCTAGAAAAGGGTAGACTCTCCCTTACAGCTAGTTTGGCAGTAGCCAAAAGGTACTCAGTGGTGGGCTTCTTACAGAATTAGGAAATTACTCACCAGTTTGAAAATGCAGATAAATGTATCCCATCCTTTCTCTATGCCATGGGTAGATTACTATTAGATGTAGAGTCACACTGCAAATGTTTACATAAATAGTGTGTGGCATTCATAGGATGTATTCCTGTAATATGTCCAGTAACAAGCATTCCATGGTGTCCCTGAGCCTGTCCGTTGCTTCTCATTTCCTTTTCAAGTGGGCACACTTTAATTTGGACATTTCCTTCTATTGCCTCTTGAAATTCTAAGCTATAGTTCACCACTCCCTGAATGAAAATACGCTCTTCACAGATTGCACCAAGTAAAAGCTGAAAGAAATAACTGTGTCGAGCATTCCATGAGTCCAGTGCTGTTTGAATCAAGCTTTTATCAAACAGTTGCATATAATGAACAAGCTTACAATTGTCAGTCCAAGCAGCCAGAATTTTTCAGATCATATCTCTTTTTCTCTGTATCTGTAGAGCCCAGTCAAGCACAGCCTTGGTCCTGAATACTGGGATCTTTTAAGTGCTGCTACAGTAAGAGGTGTTTGTTAATAAGCATAATTTCTGCATAGACAAATACGAAAGTAACTAGTTAATATATTCCTTGATGACTCTTTTGGTAGCATTTGGTTTTAAAGTTATCCAAACAAAATGAGTTTTACTAGGCCAGTGGTTTGGATACTTATGCTTTTTCTTTGTCTCTAGATTGGGGAACCAAAACTTGTGTTCTGCCTGGACTGCTCTGCAGAAACCATGAGCAGCCGCCTAATGATGAGCAATCAGAGCAGTCAGCACTCTGATAATGCTGAAACCATCAAAGAAAGAATCGAAAGCTATTACCAAGCATCAAAACCTGTGATTGCATACTATGAAAGGAAGACACAGTTATGCAAGGTAAATTGCTTGACATCTTGAATTAAATTATTGCTTTTTGCTTCCATTATATGAGCAATATTTGGAAAATACTGACATGGCATAATTTATGAACTGTATTAGTTTCTGCACTTTCCAGTTTGTTCTCATCTTGCACTTCCCTGGTTTGTTTGCAACTTCTACAAACTTCTGAGTTCCACACTACAGTTTGAAAGAATAAAAGCACAGATTTATCCTGAGGCTGAGAACATATCCTGAATCACTACCTCATCTGTATAGAATCTCTTATTAAACATTAATGCTGGAAAGCTTTTCTTTAAGTATTAGGATTTATTTCTCTATAAGGGCTTTTAGAGTTGGGATGAAAGATTACGTTAATCTGAAGCCAAAGTTAAATTTGCAAAACTGACAGTGTATATCCTGATATAAAACAGACCTGCACACCAGAAAGATCTTTCTGCTGGGACAAATGCCATAGTTATATTAATTTCAATGAATGACCTCAGTTTACACCTGCTGAGGATGTGATATTTAAAGCATTCTTTTTATTCTCTAATCAATACTTTACAAGAAAAAATCCATCAGTGCAATTGACTGATGTGTATGCTGGCACATCTGTAAACTCACTTACATAGGATGTTTGTATTTCCTTTTGTATATTTCTTTTCTCCATTGTGGCAAACTATCCCTTATGTTCAGCTACAGAAAGATCTAGTCCTACTGATCCTTCTTGTCCTAAAAGGGAGAGAATCCAATAGTAGTTTCTGGAAATATTATGGGAGCTTTTTTTCTAGAGGCTATAGCAAGCATGCAAATTGCATATCCCAAACCTTTCTGCTCTGCAAAGTTCCCAAAAGAGAAACATGCAGCTAATTTATGCACCCATATGCTGACCTGAGAACAGAGTAAATGTCATAGTCCTGAGAAAAATAATACTCCAAGGGGAAGTCCTGATTTATGTCCTTTGCTGACCCCACAGTAAGTGCACAGAAGGCAAACTCCAGAGTGGCAGGGAAAAAAATCCCCATTTACTTTTCTTTTTTAAGCTTAAGAATGATTATCTGGTTTTATTTGTATTTTCTTTGATGAGCTACCTTGCCAACATTGCAAGGATGTGTCTAATTAAGAATTCAGTACAATACACAATACACCAACTCAGGGTGCTGCGGAGGAAAACAGAGCTCTCTGTGTCTTTGAGATCTTATGCCAGTGAGCTGTGCCTACCCCAGTGTTTCCCTTGCTGAAGCATCAGGGAAGTGACAGCCCCAAAGAGAATGAACCTACGCTGAATACTTTCGCACAGATTTTGCATTTATGGTCTGCCATATTTCACTTGATGTGGATTCTCCTTGCCCTTCCTTAATACTTCTGCTGCAAGTTTCTATTCCATCTCCTATGCAATCTATGCAATGGCAAATCATGCAGCCATTCTTGAAAGCTTATAGCTCGTTAGCTCCATAAGGGACTGGCCAAGTCTATGGGTCAGAACGGGACATGTACTCCGCACTCTTTTGTCATTGATTTTTGAGGGATCTGTCATTTTGGGTTTGCGTGTTAGAAAATACTTGTGCATTGCTTGAACAGTGTTTACACTGTTTTTCTTACAATGTCTGTACAGTGTCTGTACTTGCTTCTGATGAACATAGATGTTCAACATACTTCCATCTTCTTCTGGATGGAACTATTGGGTATGAAAGCTCTGTAACATCAGTTTTATAAACATTATCATAGAAAATGTCCTTTTAAGGTTGAAAAATGTGTTCTGTTTTTCTTGAAGACAGGTACTCTGTATTGAAAAGTCTACCTCATCCACTTTTTACTAAACTGATAAAATACATATCTGCTGTCAAAGATGTGATTCCATTATGGATTTAAGTAAAGGAGGGAGATGCCCCCTCCCCAACCCTTATGTAGTTCATGTTCAGTTATTTATCAGCATTTAGAGAACGCTGCCAAAATACTCAGCGGAGGTAGGCTTTTAAAATTAATCCTCCCAGGCTATCCTTGCCACCCCCAGCCAGCCTCAGGTACAAGCCTGCAGCTTCGGTGCCTGTACAGCAAGGAGCAGAAGCAAATGTAGTTTTCCTACAAGAAGCATGTTAACATTTTGTTGTTCATGGGTGAGAAAAGTGATTTTTTTAACCCAGTGTTGTTGAACAGTTGTGGGAATCTATTTTAAAGTTTACTTTGCACCTACAGTCAAAGTGGAAAAGTAGGTCTGAGCACTTTTTTGCACCAGGCAATTGACTTCAAGAGCTATTCTGACCCAAATATTCCCTATCAGTTCTGCAATGGACAGTGCTGGAATAAAAAAAAAAAATCAGTTTTGGAAATACAGTAAATACTGTGAAACAAAGTGATTTCTTTTTTGGAAGAAATGCTTGTTTAGGATTTTTTTCTAGGCAATTTTCCTGGATAAGTGAATTTGAAGAGTTTAATCATACGGTCTGACTTGATCAATGAAACAGCTCAAGCATAGTGCCTGGCATAGTGGCATCCTTCCAGTGCCCAGTCCTGCTTTGAGCAGGAGGTTGGACTAGATGACCCCCTGAGGTTCTTTCCAACCTATAACATTATCCTGTAAATGCACATAGAATCGTTTAGGTTGGCAAAGACCTGTAAGATCATCAAGTCCATCTTACAAACCCGTACATTGTTGGGCTCAACAATTTGAAGAGTAAAGACAAAGAAAAAAACAGTTAAGCCTTGGTCAACAGCTGTTTTGAAACAAAGAGAACTAGGTAACACAAAATGTATAACTGTTAGCTGTGTGGGAAATGAAGAGAAAAGAGACATTTAGGTTTACAGTTTTAAAGCTATTTTAGCAGCAAATATGTTTAGGCTGCATACTTTGAAGAAAGCAGAGCGTAAAGGGGAAGTTTGCAATTCCCAGGCCATGGGGTTAGTTTCTTATTTATAGCAACATATTTTACAGACTGCTAGGCACTGACATTAGCAACCACTCTGATGTTCTCTGAATGAAGAAAGGAAATTCAGATGGAAAGCAGAAAAACTGTCAGTAATACTTCTGACTGCAATTTTTTTTGTGCAGTCTAGGCTAAAATAGTCCTTGGTTTTTGTTCTTTGTAATATCATACACATACACAGAAGACGAAGACTTTACCTAGAGGCGGTCTAACATGTTTAATATTTTTCTTCCTGATTTTAACTATACCACCCCACGTTTTCAGCTTTGGGAATCTGTTCCTTCATAAGTGGGTTTTATTACTCTCCAGCATTGGCCAGCGCTGGCTGAAGATGTTAATGCTCCCATTAAGATGCTGCTGCCTCTGTAATTATGCTCACCGAAGGAACTGTATATATGTTTCCTAATCCATTTCAGGCAAATCCACCAAAGTTACTTTACAAGTGTTGATTTGAAGACCCCTTAAAATAAATGACCTCATCTATGTTCATGGATGTTTTAAAATAATCCATAGACCTTCACGTAAATAAAGACCAAAGGCTCGTACCCTCTTTCTCAGGCAAAGCTGGTGGGATCCAATAGCTTCAGGGAAGCGATGCCTTACCTGAAGGTGCTGTTTGCAGATCCAGATCCATCTGTGATCCCAGGATAAGCAATGGCCAAAGCATCTGAAGAGAAACTATTTAAGAGAGGAAGAGAAGAAGGGTCTAAAAGAATCTTTAGTTGCTACCTTCTGGAAAGCTATTTCTGCCCAGGCTTATTTTTTCAACAGAGGCAGCTCTTCAGTGGAAGGCCCATGTGAGCTTTATGTCCCTTGAGATGCCAGCCATGCACTTTCTGAAGAATTCAGAGGAATGGATGCTGAGATTTTAAGAGAAATATTAGAGTCTAAATCCCACCTAACTGCCGTGAAGATGCAGCATTAACCTTTTCTAGCCAGGTCACTGAAACGTGTGACCAAGCACCAATAACTGTAGGTGAAATAGTGTTTAATTGTATAAGTGATCATGTCCTGTAGGGATTAACTGCGGCTCCCAGTCCCTGCTTTCCCACAGAAAAGAAAATCAGAACTGTTAAATAGACTTGTTTAACAAGAAAATAAGGTTGGCATATTGGTATATTTGCATTCTCCATTTTTTAAGTGTATTTAGGGCTGGGCAAACTTTTTCACAGATTGGGAACAGCACATGGCAACAGTGCTATGTGTTTAACTTGTCCTATCCAGCCTAAAAGTTTTCAGTCCTGAAACAGGCAGATTAAATATGCAACGGTAAAATTCGGTTCTGGGCGTGAGGCCAGCAGAAGGTCTGGTGTGGGAATTAGATGCTGGATGAGCACTCAGTGGAGGAGGAACTGATCTGTTGTGCCATATCAAGGTGTGCTTGAGGCTACATTGTCAAATTTGCTTTCTCATTCTCTGTATTGGAACGGGTGTTACAGCACGGATGGAAGGAGCCTAATAAACACAGTAGAGACAGAAAAACTCAAGTCTGACCTAGCTTCCTCTGCAGTCATTAGGAAATCTCTCTTTGCCTAGCTTGCGCAGAAGAGACAAAGGTACATGGTTGCAACAGCGTTCCCATTTTAATCAGTGAGAATTTTATGACCTTCCCTAAACCTAGAGTTACTGTGCATAGCTGCATTCTTAAATAACCAGAATGATATTTGGAAATGCAATGTTTTTCCATTCTGCTGACCTCTGAACAAGACCAGTGACCTAATAAAGCTGCCAAAAGATCAGGACTCTGAAATTTCCCCTTGACCAGGACCACCTGTCAGCGTTTCTGCTCAGCAGTGGAAGCGTGAGGCATGCACAAAGGGTGGAGAACTTGGGTGCAGATGAAACACCCATGAACCTGACAGGAATAAATAATGGTGATCCTGCCAGCCGCCCAGCTGAGATAAGAACTGTGATGTAACTCGCAGGGATGTATTTACAAGGGAAGATAAGCTGACCGAAGAATGAAGGGCAAAGAATGGCAGTGTCCTCTGCTCACTTTTCTGCTTAAGGCATTAATTTTCTAAATCGTGTTCTGGAAGGTAAAGTAGCTGTAACAGTAAGTTAGAAATTTTCCAACTAATTTTTTAAAAATCATGTTTGGGGGATACTGTTTAATATTCCATAACTTCTTTCACAGTCAGCCACAAGATACCCACCTGCCGCTAAGGACAGCAAGCGGGTGCTTTTTAGCAAAGACCTCGTGCTGGAAACTCAAGGACTGAAAGCCCTGCTCGAAAAAACAACAGTTGCAAGCTGCCTGATTCTGTGGGAATTGGATGTTTCAGATGAATGAAATGAAACTAAATGCACTATGGTAGATGTAGTAAGCAGGTTGGGTTTAAATTTATTTCTCAGTGATTTCCAAGGCAGCTAGACAGAAAAGTGCGTCTGAAAATTTAGTAGGCACCTACTTGTGGTTTAACGTGGCTAAATGTAAATAGCTTTGAAAATATGGCCCTCTGTCAATTGAGAAGAAAGCGAGAAAAAAACCCTGATTGTTTTTAATGTCTGACTCATCCTTTAAAGCTTTTTTCAAGTGACAGTATGTAGGAGGGCGATAAGTAATGGAGAAGAGCAACGCATTGGTAGTCAAGCAAGACAAAACTCATCTTACCTCGCTAACGTAAGACACCTAGTAGGTGTCTTAAATACAAGTTCCCTGAGGAAAAGGGCTGTGAGTATAACAAATACGGTAGGCAGCCCAGAGCAGAGGATTTTCAAGGATGTTCAGAAAGACTCCCTATTTCAGATCACATGTTATGGAAGCTTAGCCTACAAAATTCAACCAAAATGCATTTCTCTTTTTAGCTTTCTTTTTCCTTTTCTTTGTTTTTCTTCTTTATCGACACTGTTGTTCTACTGTTTCTTTCTAAAATCAGTTGAAGTCACACGCTGGGTAAGCAGTAGTTGTTAGATTCTTATCACAAACATTTTCCATAACCATTATGAAAGGAGTGACCATCCGCCCTCTCAGGATCTTCCACTTCTGAGCCTTCTCATGCAGATCCTGTTAGAGGTTTCTCTGGGGAGGGGCAAATGTGTACTTTTCCCTTTAGAGAAGGGATAATCAATGGTAATAACGATAGCAGCTATGTAATTTATTTCCGTCCTTTGAAAGGTTGTCAGAGAATCATTAACCCCGGTGGGTAAGTAGGCGGGGGAACAAAGGAACGAGTGTTTCTATGTCACACCCCTTGGTGGCTTGTGACCCATTAGATGAGATAAGATACATCAGAAACATTAGCAGGGGATTATAGATAAAACACAATGGTAAATTCATCCCAAATGTGAATAGGTATCAGGGCAGCACGTTTCCACTGGATCTCCAGACAGCTTGAGCCATTGCTCTGAGAACCAGGTACTGCACTGTCGCAGAGAGGTTTTTAACACTCTCTTTAATGAGAAAGATATAAATATTAGTGCCAACACAGCTGAACTTGACTGACCTTCAAGAAGAAGCTTCTAACTAGTGAGTTTATTCCAGAGCCTCAGCCTGTCTTTCTGAAAACAGTGGTCCTCAGCCACCCTCTCTGCAGACAGTCGGGTTTTTCTCAGTGGCAATATATGTTTTGGGTTCTAAATCCCCAAACCTACAACCAATGGAGAATTAATGACAGGAGGTTTGATTGGCTGATTTTAATGCCGAAAGGAGCAACGTTATTCTATGAAGATGATTACTCCAGTCATTTTTCACATGAGCTCGTCGAATTTCTCTGTATTTGAAGTTACCTAAAGCCACAGCAGCATTTCAAAATGGGAAGTACTATGGAGAACTGTATCTGGATCTTGCTTTTGTGAGAAGACAGTGGCCTCGAATAACCGTGAAACCAGTCCTAATTTATGAGGTTTGTTATAATCTGAGAAAGAGAAAAAACACAGTTTTCTCTCCTGGGGCTGCAGAGAGCGTCATTGAATTACTGTGGTAGCGGCTGTGAATTATTGTCACATTAAGTTAGTTTTGTGCCACAACTTTAAGTTAGTTTTATGAATTGGACCTTTGTTATTTAGGAGGCCAGCATGGGAAGCACTGGGGCTGTCATTAGTCACGCTCATCCATATTTTACTGTGACTGTTAGGAAGGCAGCGTTCCAGCCAGTCATAAAGGGCAGCAATTTCCACGCTCACAAGCCTAATTCTTCACCACAACTGCCTAGATCTAGGCTTGAGTATCAGTCCCAGTTCTAGAGGAGGTCGCTGAAAAGCCAATGGCAATCAGCTGTGCTGATTAGGTTAGCTCGGTTATCTGGCGCAGATGTTATTTATGGAATAGAGATAATAAAAATACATATTCAGATAACAGAGCTTTGGAATGGCTGTGGCCTTCACCTGTATGAAGTATATTTCTTGTGGGAAAGCCATATGAGAAGAGGTGTCCTGGCAGTTGAGATGGACACAACAAGCTGCTTTATAGCAGCGGAGATGGGGGTTGCTAGTTTTATTCTAACTGGAGAAGGCAGGCATTTGGTCCAGAATGGTTCACCATTCCCCTTTTCTCTTTGCTACTAGTAAGTCACCCCCTCCTCAACCCTTTGTTTCTGTGGCACAGAAAGCTTCTGAAAGACACGCAGCCCTTGTTTGAGAGCTGACCTTTCTCCAGCACCACCGGCTGCTTCACAACTTACTCCAGCGCGTGCGTACTTCAGCATTACGTACAGCAGCAGTGTCAGCAAACGCCAGCGTGACAGAGAGCAAAGGAAGCAAGAGAGCCGCGCTCCCGAAAGCTCGCCAGGAGGGGAGAGGGTAGTTCGGCTCAGGCTGTACGATCCCCTCGTGGTGAATCCAAGGGGATTGAACCCTGTCAGGCGTGGCTCCTTAAAGGGTGGCCAGGCTGGTCATATCCAGTGCTGGAGCTGCTGTGTGCGGAGGCAGACTGGCTGAGTGTGCCGGCACTTCTGACAGGATGCAACAAGGGACCAAACTTTGCAGCATCTCTTGATGCCACCAAGAGCGAAACCAAGCTACGGAGCATGAACACAATCCCTTGCCAGATCTCTGCAAGGAGCAGCTGCCGACTCCCACACAAGACTTAGCACTGAGGGACTTAAAATGTACATTGAGTGCAGTCAGACTGCACAGGAGCTGGCTGCAAGCCAACACCGTATCTGAGAAGAATTTCATGGACCATTTCAAAAAGACATTTTTTGGATTTGAAATTCCTTTTATTCTCCTGCAGAACACAGAGGTGGCAGAAAGTAGGGTGGTCGGGAATGTCCCCTTCAAATGTTACGATTGTCTGGCATCCTCGTCAGCAGCTTGGGGAAGAAAATGCAGCACATAGCTCAGAAAAACAGGTTTTAGTGAAGTCCAGTTAAACGTGTGCAAACTCCGTGGCGTGCATGAAAGACTAAGCATGGAGAGGCAGAGGGGAAGCTTGCTTTTGAGCAGAAAATCAAGGCTCCCACCAGGCGTTTGAGAGGAACCGAATAATCACCAGATGCAATCTGCGTGGTGGTACACAGCCAGCATGACAGCTTCTTCTGTCGCTGCTGTGAAGGCAAACGACAGCTCTCCTTCCCCAAGTAACGACCTGCGTGACACTCACTGCGTGGGACGCACATGAAACTCATTGCTCAGGAAAGCTCGGTGCTACATTAACGTTTTCTAGGGGACACACAGAAGTATTACTGGCTAGACATCATTCCTCTCCGCTGAAACGCAGCTCTCCCTTCCTCAGCACAGCAGAATAAATTGGTCTCGTTTTTGTTGAAATTCAATCATGAAAAATAAACTTGGACAGCCCGGACAACCTCTGGCCAAACCAGAATCTTTGGGGTGTTGAAGAAAAAAATATCTTCAATGGAAGTGAGTTCTCATACAACACGACCGGCGCCGCTGTCAAGCATGCGCTGCCCAAAGGTCGTCATAAAAGCAGAAGCGATTCACCGAGCTGGCAACCACACGTGCACAGAAACGCGGCCCCTCGCTGCGTTACTGCGCTGGGAAGCTTTCGGGTCAGCCCCGGCATTGCATACGCTGACACTTCAGCTGACAAGAAACAAATTAACGAGTCAGTGCCATCCCTCTCATGAATGGTTTGATATCGAAGTTACTCTATTAGGTTTCTTTTGGAGGGTGTTAAAATAGTTTCTAAAAATCTTTGGAAACTGTTCTGTATAGCAAAGGTGTAATTTTACTTCAAAACACAGGTCCTTGGGAGAAAGAGCTTAACCTCCCTCGTCTGATCACGTGCTTTGCTCCAGACGATGGAGCCTACAGAATCTGTGGAAACGCAGTGAGAAATTTGGGTTGTGGAAGCTGCTCCTCTGCATCAGCACGCTTACAGCATGAAACAGAATGTTTCTTTTATTTTGGATCAGGTTTTTTGTGCCAATGCTTAGATTCTGAGATAATTCTTCATAACTTAATCAAACCTAATGCTTTTTTGCCTGTTTCGCAGGTTGATGCAGAAGGAACGCAGGAGGATGTCTTTCTGGAAGTCTGCAAGACAATTGACTCTTTCCTGACGAAGGAAGAGGCAGCGTTTGCTTTTCCAACAGAAACGCAGTGACGGCGCGCGCGCGCAGCCTTGCCTCACGCGCACCTGGCCGGCACGGTTACGACACTGTTCAAAGCAATACCGCTTTCTTGAGAGGTATCTGGAGTTTGTGCATGTGGTATGCTGTTAGATGAAATCTTTTTCCTCTGTTCCGACAACGCCCTCCGTAGGAAGTGGTCTGTGTGCTCACTCTACACTAAGAACTCTGTATTGTTGTTGGTGGTTTGCTCTTCACGGGTTAAAAGCAGCATGGTGAACAGCAGCTCTGGTGTGCATTTCATCATCTCATGCATTCGACTGGAAGTCAGACGGTGCCTGGCCAGCAGCGAGCTCTTCAGCCACATCATTCATCATTTAGCATATTAAGATTACTTCGTGCAAGTTTCCCACTGGTTATTATTTTCTTTTAATTAACAGTATTAATTTTTGTGGTATCACTAAGCTTGTTCTTGGGTTTTAGTGACTGAAATCTGTTCTCCGTTACATGCAGCTGTAAGACAGCTGGAATTAGTTGAGCTAGAATTTAAAATACACTTTTCACATGTCCCCAGAACACTGTTACAAGAAGCAGAAAAATTAATTGAAGGTGAAGACACAGCTGAATGTTGTGGAAGTCTGTCAATCCGTTACCGCGGAGCAGACGCCACTTTGAGGCAGCCTTGTCTTCTGCTGGGGCTCGCAGGACGTTATAAATGATGACTTCCCAGTTCTGCGAGCTGAGGTGAAAATAACGATTGTGGCGTACAGTAACGCGCGCAATCCAGTAATTACCCATATTAAGAGCAGTTTTACTATCATTAAAGTCTACATGTAAGTTGACTATGGGCCAGAATGTATGAAGATGTCTTTAATAAAATCATACTTCAGAAACATTTAAAATGCAAAATTCAGACTGTCATCTGTTGTCTTGTACTGGTATTGCCAAAACTTTTTTTTTGTTTGGGGGGGGGGGGGGAGGGAGGGGAAAGATTATTTGATTCATATTGCTTGCATCTTTAGTAAGCCATTTATCTGTAATAGCTGCAAAAGTCTGTAAAAATCGTATCGCATTTCCATTAGGTTAACCAAAATATCGTGGAGTTTCTTTGGTATTCTGATAGCTAAATAAAAGCTTGTTTGACATTCCTGCAAAGTAACTGCATCCTCTGACTGGGAACTACTGGATGAATTCACAGCTGAAGTGGGTTGCATGATCGCTCTTACTGTCGAAGTTGTACTTGATGCGGCAGATTTGTATTTTTAAAGTTAACCTTTCTTGTAACGAAGACGTAACACAAATAAAACACGTACAAAAATGAGGCGTAATGATTTCTGTTACAGCACGCGTGGGTTTAATCCTTTTCAAAGCACAGCACATGACAGAACAGCTCCGGCCGGCGGGCTTGGTGTCCTTGCTCCATTCAGGGCAGTCTCTTTCGTTTTCTTCCTTGGCATTTGCCCTGCAAACGCTAACTCGGTTGTTTTTAAGGGACTGTCTTGGATATGTTCTTAACCTTCACGTCCTGGATGTTCCTTCGTTCCTGGGTCCCTTCATAGCCTACGTTTTACCTCTGGCGCTCTAGCAAGCGCTGCTCCAGCTCCGGGCCAGAGCCACGGGGCGACCGGTAGCGCCTGCGGTACCACGGCTTTCGGTGAGCGACTGCCGCAGGCAGGTTTTTCCAAACCCAGCCCCAAAGCACGAGCAGGTATCTGGTGTGGTACGTTAAAACAGGAAAATATTCTGGAGTTACCACGCAGTTGCAAATTCATCCGGGTAGGTTTTCTGGAGTATGTTTTATTACTTCCAATTACAATATAAATTAAAAAGTATGGAACATCATACTTGTGCGGGACGGGAACAAAGGCAACAATCAGCTGCTAATTTTCTTTTTGGTTTGTCTGTTTTTGTTTTTTTTTTTTTAAATCAAATTACAAAAATTATTTAACATACAGTTTCAGTTTAATTTTTCTTCCTGCTTCTTCTGGTCTTTTCTGTGGAACAAAACAAAAAAATTCCCATGCTTGCAGGGGGGTTGTGCACTAGGGATCTACCTGCGCATGTTCATAATGTATGCAAGAGGAAGAGCTGTATATGCATGCATATGGAAATATAACTATTTATACATATTCAATAAAAAGAGGACGTATCCAAGACACTTCTTTCTTGGGTGATTCAGGCTTGAAATTCTCCTCCTGCTTCCAATCTCGTCCAAATTATACCATGGCTTTTTGTTCTTCCCAAGCTATCCCAGTCCGAGGGCTGAGTAGCTGCGCTTGATCGCGCTTCCACTCCTGTACTTGCTCTATTTTCTCCCACCCATTTTGTCAGGGCAGCAGGAGAAAGCAAAGATTGCCACGCATTCGCTCCCTGGGAACACACCTTCACCCGCTGCAGCTTCCTAGAAAGAGCCCCGATGATGCGCAAAGCCCACTGTTTGCTGTATTAGAGAGCCTCTGGGAGCAGCATCTTTTCCAATTAAAAACTGAACTACGTCACGTGAATTGGTGTGTTGTGGTTTTCCAAGGTTTATTAAATCTATCTGAGTATGCGAGGTACGCGGGAGATCTTTACAGGATACTTGCTCAGTGTTTCATAACTGCGCTGTATTACCTTCTAAGTAGATTAAACGCTTAAAATTATTTTTTTTCTGAAGCGAAAAATAACTACACCTAAGTTTATTGCAAAACGTACTGCTGCTGATCAGTTTGTAATTAAAGTTCTCAGGTGCAGCCAGCCAATTACCCTTCTTATTGCCATCTTCCGAAGTCAAATGAGTTCTGTCCTAGCTAATTACGCTGAGTATTCAAGTTTCAAAGCAACTGGAAGTCTGTTACGGTTATAAAATAACCCAAGTGTTTCTGAATCACAAGCTACACATTCCAATAGAAAATATATTAACTAAAATAGGTCACAATAATTACAAAGCTTCTCAGACAACGGTATACAGTGTCCCCAGGCTACTGAAATCTGAGTTTTCTGCAGGCTGAAAGAGAACAGTTTGGGAGAAAGATGTGAGAGAACGGAAACGCTAATCCTGCCACAGGCGAGGCCGGTTTCGGCAGGCGCAGAGCACCATCGGTTCCCACCGAAATGAACAGCAGAGGAGGGCGCTGGGCATCTCGCAGGTCTGCACAGTGAGCGTTTGTACGGACGTACCAAGATGTCCTGCTAATGGTTTCCATCTTGATTAAAAAGTCGGAACTACACCGAAAGGAAGTGACAGCAAGCATTCTATATATAAACAGACTGTATCCACATAGTTTATTTCTCACAGTTCTCCTGACAATTGAACATTATTTAAGAACATACTGTATACACAGATAAGAAGAAACATACAAAAATGTTTTAAATGATGCACAACAAAATCCAGCAGTATAAAAGAATGCATGTGAACCCTTGCTCACTGCTCAGGCTAAATTTAATCACTGTTTAAATAGTAATAAAAATACAATCTTTCATGGATCTTGTGCAGACTACAAAAGAGGAAAAATTATTACCATATATATGATTTATATTAGGCAGTTTTCTTTGATGAGTTGCACTAACAACTCCAAATACAGAGGCAGAAGGCTGTGTATTTTATTTTAAAGGAGTTAATGTTGAGTATTAGAGACTTTACACAGTTACTACCACTGGCACTTTTCACCATATTTTGTACACATCACATGATCATCTTATATAACATTACATTTAAAAAATATATCTGAGTGACAATTTTATAACATTCACACACCATGAGCTGGTTAAGGAAGCAATGCCACAGTTGCCCCCTGTAGTGCTTCACTGTTGGTAAATAGAGTTCATCGTGGTTTTAAAAAAAAAAAAAAAAATTAAAAAAATTGAAAGTCAATGTGATTAAGCAGCTCCGATTTAATAAAGGCCTGTAACCAACCATCGCCGAGACAGTGAGTATTTTTTTAGAGTACATCCTAGAAGCAAACACTGTCATTGGTTAAAACCTTGCCTAAAGAAGTCAGTTACTGTGCTGAAAACTATTTCACAACAAAACTGCAAGCTACTAAACTGTTTTTATATAAATACTTCATCTCCTCTGGATCTCATTATAACCAAGTTCTTCGAAGCCTTTGGAATTTACTCTATCTTTAATGTGTGCTCTCATTTCTGGCTCACCCTTTTGTATGTTTTTCTTTGTGTGTTTAGATTCACCACCTAAAAATGACTAACGTGGTGAAAGAAAAGTCTCCCAGTGAAACCTTCCGCACACTAGGAATGTTCAGCTGCTGTTCAGTGATCTAGAACCATGACAGCTCAAAGCTGTAGTTTGACAAGTACACCCAGGAAGCTGTCATGCTGTGAGCGACATTTCAGGGAAAGCAGAGTCTTTCCAAAATGTGCACAGAATTAACAATGGTGCCATTGTTATTTTTCAAAGAGGATAGTAAGCCCAAGATGGTAGATCTGCTTCCCATGTCATCTATTTGCTGGAAAGTAGTTTGGGTCAAGATAATTGTAACTGGTGCCCTGGGACATGCAGTAGTCTCTGTCTAAAAATGTCTCTGCTCTGTAAATAGGTTCTAACTGATGATCTTCCTTATGAATCTCTGTTTCATGCAGACTGCAAGGGAAAGAAAAAGATAACAGTTTAAAAGTCAAGTATTTTCCTTTAACTTTCAGAAACAGTGATCATATTAACAGACTCATACCACATTTGATACAATTAATTCATAAAGTATCATTTCCCCCACTTTTAACAGTGCCAAACCTATCTGTCCACTGCATTATGGAAAAAAATTATACATCCAGAACATGCTTACAAAATACATCTCCCACAAATATAGCCTAAAGTATCTTCCACTTTGCCCGACACAGGAGACACGTCCTGTGCTGGAGCAAAGATTTCCAACATACGCAGCAATTAAGCCACACAGAGATATTCAGGCTAACTACAAATAACAAGTAGAAGCGCATGCTGCTCACCAGTCAGAACAAGAATCACAGAAATCCAAGGACATTTCTTGAGGGCAGTCTTGGCAGTGCCACCGAACACCCTGGATAGGTTCAATTCCGCAGT